TAGAAATGTATAAGTAAATCTAAACAATGTATCTACAAAATATATCTGCAAAATCTCTAATATTCAACAAAAAATACTTAGTTAAGCATATTGTGCAAAACAGCAATAGAAAAATTAAACTATCAGATATAGTTCCCACTCTGCAGATCTATTATAATCTGTCCTTAAATTCAACAAAAACAACAAAAATCTGAGTTACTCATCAAAAAGGTGCTATTATAAGCTATAAGGCTTTCGGTGAGTTTGGTGACTTAAAATAATAAAAGTTAAAATGTAAGCAAATAAGCTATATATACAAAAAACACAACCATATTTATGACGACAAAATTACTGCCATCTTGTGGTTAAATATAAAATCTGTCCTTTTAGGCTGCAACTGCAATCATATTTAATAAAGTGCAAAGACTAAACTAATAAAATCAGTGAGATTGTATTCTCTGATGTCACTATTCAATCACGTTGCTAATAATCATTGGTATCGGAGCATCTTCCCCCATTTTAGCTGGCTGCCCTTATTCACAATTCATTTTAAAATTATTTTCTTTGCTTTTAAATCCCAAATTCACTACTTGGCCTAGTTGCTTAGAGCAGTGCGCTTGTCCTCTGAGAAGGTTGCAAATACCCGCTTTGATCCCCACAGCCCGCACTCTGGTTCCTGAGCAAAACCCTTAACCCCTGATTGCTCCCTGGGCGCCACAAAATGGCAGCCCACTGCTCCTCATGGGTAAAATGCAGAGAACAAATTTCACCATAATGGGACAATAAAGGAATTTTGATACTCACTCTCTCAGGTCAGCTGCTAAGTTTCTCCTAAGATAACCTACAACTAAGCAGAATCAGAGAGTGAACCATGCTTTTACTATTGCAGCTCCAAAGCTATGGAACAACCTGCTTCAGCACATCAGATAAGCCTCCTTTTTTGTTTTTTAATCTCTTGTCAAAACCCAACTTTTCACTTTGGCTTTTGACACATAGCTAGACAGTGGACTTTATTTGATCTTTTTAAGCCTTTTTTTCCTTTAATCCAATTTAATTGTTTTGATTGTGTGAATGTTACTTTTTACCAATGTTTGAGCTGTTTTGTCTTTTATCTGTAATTTATATTCATTTTTCTGTAAAGCACTTTGGTCCACTGTCGTTTTATAAATTCCTAACAAATAAAACTGGATTGGATATTTTTGTTATACTGGTCTCAGAATTTAGTCTCTCTGAACAGGTTTGTAAAGCTGGAACATTTTGTTATAGAAGAAACTAAAAACAATCCTTAAAACCATCTCAGCTAAATTGTCATGAGAAAAGAGCAAACATAAGAACGAATGAGAATTTCTACATTGAAGACGCATGTTTTAAAAAAATAAAACCTAAAATTAATTATTTCTTTAAATTACTAAAAAGAACCTACCCTGATTTTGTGAAGTGTCATTCCAATGGCTCTATTGATGACAATGTCAAGGACTACAATCTTCAAAACTTATCTCCATCTATGCTAGTTTGCCTTAAGTCACATTTAAAATTTTAATGTCTCTTTCATTTTTTGTTGTTCTCTACCTCTATTCTTTCCATGGTTAGTTCTGTTAATGATTTCATCTTTGAGATTAGAGATCTGAAACACAGTAATACAGTATCTCATCCAGTCCTTTGGTGTTACTGATGAAATGTTCAGCTCAACACTTTTCTTGAAGCTTCCCTTATTGTTGGGGAGAATCTCTCCATGCTCCACCGCTTCATGAAACTCCTCTCTATCTGAACATCACAGCACTGTTAGGGTGCAAACCTGCAGCAGCATAGACCTCTGGAGGAGAGACACTGAAGGAGGGCCGTAGAAAAAAAATGTCAATGTTATTGTCTGGTTTGGATTTAAATACATGTTTAAGAGTATAACAGGAATGAAATAATTTCTGTCTTTTAGCATGAACATTTTCGGGTTATTCCTTTTTTTAATAACGGCACAGAATTATTTTCCTTTCTGACAGTTGTTTATTTCTCTTTTGTTCTTTGTTTTATATTATCTAGTCTGCAGTTTTTTTGTCAAAAGTTTTTTAACCCAATGTTCCATTCCATTGAATAATTCCTCCACCAGAGGGCGTCAGAATTTACCTGCATATGAAATATAATTTTCAAAACTGAATGCTGACATTTATATTTGGACTATTGGACTGATTGTTCTTCAAATCACTACCTTGAGTAAATTTGAGCTTCTGTCTAAAATGCAGAAGGGGGGTAATGTGAGACAGCAGACCAGAGACTGAGAGCAAAGGAGAGAAACGGGGGATAGAAAGTGAAAAACATCACAGAAATGTTGCAACTTGTTGTGCTTGATCAGGTACATGCATTTTTTTTTTAAATACTATGTATAATAATATGTTATAATATGTTAATAATATGTTAATATTTATTTCTTATCAAAATACTGATTAATATTAATATTCAAAAAAATAAATAAATAAATAAATAATAATAATAATAACAATAATATGGAATATTTTTTTTCTGTATCTTTTTACAAGGTAACAACTATTTGTTATTATGTCAGCATCTGGGTATTTTTACAACTTTGCATTTTACTGTCCTGACACCACTTTCCTGACACCCCAAAAATACTTTTCAGAAATCTTTTATTTATTGTCACCCAAACATACAGCATGGCACAACAAAAACAGAAAATGCATAAAATCTGATTTTTGTTCTTTTTAAAAATCAGTCTTACCATTGTACAGAAAAGCCATCTCATACTCCAGATAGTTTTTAACCCATGCAATGCAATCTTTTGTTAACTGGTTCTTCAAATAACCAGCCTTGATTTTATCTCCATTGCATTTTCTCCTGCTTTTTCAACATGTTCTGTCTGCATGTGAAATGTTAGGAAGTCTTCGCCATTATGCCATGAAGTTTAAAACCTTTAATGTCTCCAGTCTTGCAATCCCATTATCCCTAGAGGGATAATGAGGCACAAATCAGGAAAAAAAAGAGAACCAGGTATTATAGGGGATATTTTTATATATTCTGTGATGTTTAATACAAAGATACAAATGGAACTGAAACGAACATTGATACAATGAGAAAGGACCAACAATAATTTACCGGTACCTCCAGTTTAATGGAATAGCTAATCCAAACTACTTTACATCCACCACAAACACAAATATAAATGTAATTCTGGACTTAAGGGGATAGGTAAATACATGACCATAAGACGCAGCTTTCTTATTGGTTTTCTTTCTTTCGATTTTAAAAGTCATCTTGTTGACATACCTAAACCAGTTGGTATTTGAGGCTCGAGAAGGAAGAGAGCTGTTGAAAATTCCTAGTCATCCACGTCATCATCATTCCAATAAAGTTAAAAAACAATCCATGTGTTCAAACCAGGAAACAAAGTCCAGCGGACTGTTTTTTTACTTTTTTGGAATAAGAAGGCAGAGACAAACACTGACCTTAAATTAACTGCTGGAGCTTCTCTGTTAACTGTAGTTTGGACTGTGTTGAATGACTATTGATATTAAATGACTGCCTGAAAGCAAGAAAGAAGTGCCTCAAGGCACTAATACTACTAATAATTTTAATTCCATCTTCCTCCTCCCCCAGGGTGTGGACCTCGGAACACAAGGATCTTATCCGGGTCCACCTTGGGCTTGACCGGCCACTGGTGGAGTCCAGGGGCTTGCTGCCATGGCCCCACGGTACCTCAGCACTGTGGCCTCTGGGTTTTGGCCCTTTGGGGTTGGGCCCATTGGTGGTTGCGCTCCAGATGCTCCCATTTCCCCTTCTCTGGTGGGCACGGCCATCTCTATGTCTGCCCTTGGTGCCTTTGGATATATGGCGTGGGGTTCTACTCTTTGTTGGTCCTGGGACCTGTAGGGCCAGCCTGGGGCCGCCAATATGCTTTTCAGAATATTTTCGTTCTAAAGAAGCTTTGTAAATCTTTTATGCACGACAATGCCCATGCATACATAACACAGGAGTTTGGTTTCAAATGCTTACGGATACACCCTAATACTAGATATGAAACTACACTACAGATATATACCAATCTGAATAATATTGTGTAATCACCGCAGGTTTGGCCTTCCACATACATGGACATCCAGGGATACCTGATGCCTTGAACTCTTTTTGATGTTTAATTTGGTAGTCTGTTGTCGTCTTTTTGCTGTTATGCTCTCTGTTGTCTGTTCCTCTATTCTCATACAGCTTATCTTCTGTGTTGTCTATGTTTGCTGTTTTGTTTAATTTTCTCTCTTTTCCAAGCAGTGTTGTTTTCGTCAACAATGACAAAATAATTTTTTTGACGCTCCTTTTTTTCATGATCATAACAAGAACTGGCGGGCTAAACAGATCTTTGGTTTCTCTGTTTTCTTGTGCTTGAAGACCCAAAATATATCCAGCAAAACCTCTTCCACAAAGTCAACAACGGCTAAAGAAGCTTATCTGCTATATAGCATCTGGCTCAGAGTACATTCAATCACAGATCCAACTTTACCGGGAATGTAGCAACTTACTTTAAAATAGAAATAATACCCTAACAAAAGTCTTCAACTTATTTTAACCTTAATTAAACCTTTAACAATGATGTCCAATTAATAGTTTCAGCTGCTCTAATAATAAACAGTCAACAGGTGTTCAACAGGTATCAACAGGTGTTAGCAGAGATACAAATCTGGTTTCAATTCATTAGCATTATTTGTGTTAACCTCTTCATATTTGATTCATTCAAAAAAAAATTAGAACTATAATAAGCTGTATTTTGACGTGAAAATATTTTTTATGTACATTTAATGAGGTATCCGTTGATTCATCAGGTCTCTGA